TTTCCCCCCCCCCCCCCCCCCCCGATTTGTACTACGAATCTACACTGAATTACTTAGTCACCTATAGTACGGTTTCAGAGCTGTGACAACAGATGTTCTTTCCACCGAAACAAAAAAATCTATGGCATTCCATCACAGTATATGTAGAGAAAAAAAACATATTCACTGGATAGAGTAGCTTGTGCCCTACTGTCCTCATGATTGGTACATTAACAACAAACACACAGTATGGGCATCAAAGAATTCAGAATTATTCCAGCCAACTGGATTGCAAATACACAAAACACCCTCCTAGGTCCTATACTACAGATACCGTTCAGCTGAAAGAAAAGCCACTTGAGTCAACTATCATAAAAAGCTTTCCACCCTAGTACACAGTGGGTGTAGCATGATCTTGAAACTAATAAATAGTTGGCTATCCAGTCTACAGCAAATATCAACATTCCAGGCCAAACAAGCTGTCAGAGGAGCTACACGTTGTTTCGACCTGATTAAAAAATAATAATAACAATAACAAATATTAAAACCTACACAAACTGACAAAGACAGAAAGTCTAAAATGAGAGCCTGCACAATTTGTCCACAGATAGGATCATAAAATGTTAAGAACCAGTTGTCATTAAAATAACATGAATAATCAGCACATTGTAAAAAAAAAACAAAACAAAACACAAAAGTGTAGAATGAGAATAAGCAGCAAAATACAGTCTATAGTGAACTGACAGGAATTAAGAAAATACTTCTGGAGGCATGTTACTCCTTAAGACGAACACTTCAGGGGTTCCTTGCCTTCCTGTCATATCTCCCAATAAAAACCCAAGAAACTCATACTAAGCTAAATGATTTGTTAAATTACAATCCCTATGTCTTAAGCAAGAATTGCAAACCACACAAATCACAAACGTGGACTTCCTCTAACGAAAGAAAGAAATAGCAGGGAGCGAGGGGAATAAGCTCATTTCAATCTTTTCCTTGAAAAGATTTCTGGATTGCATGGGATTCTTGAATTCTCAACAGGAATTCTCAACAGGGATCCTTAGTTTCTGAGGTAAAGCTTTCTGGCTCCATACAGATGTTTAATGTTTCAATATACTTAAGTCACAAGAAAAGGTACTGCCACTGGCCATCAAATATCCTGCTTTCTAATGGTCTTTGACATCTTTCACCTTACAGAAGACTTTAATCAGTAGAAAAATCTAACCACATGGTAGTGCATTCTTGCATACACATGTAGCCCATGTTCAGTCCGTCGTGCCCCAGTAGACAGCAAAAAGACCCACAGCATTTGTTGTCCCTTTGAATTTTCTTGGAAGTTCCCAAACTAAAAAAAAAACCCCAACAAAACAACCACATACAAAAAAAAACCAAAACACTAAAAAAACACCAAACCAAAACCCACTGAAATTGTTGTTTAGGCTTTTACCTTTGTTAAAAGGCAGATTTCTGTTAAATAGAGCTTGAGTTTATTTTCCCTTTGTTGAAAGGCAGACTTTTGTTAACTACTGCTTGAGTTTATTTTATAGTTACACTGTGTCCTGCAGGTATGTTGATATTTTTTTATTTTTTATTTTTACCTTTTTAAAGCTGGTAACTCTGCCTCCAGAGAAGAGGTCCACTTGTTATAGAAAAATGCAGCACTAAGGAAACAGAGTACACACACTTCATTTTCAGATTTTTCTGTGTGGAAGATGACTCCTGCTGATGTTTAATTTTATTAAAGAGGAAAACTACACAAACATGAACTCAGATGGGACAGTTTCAACACATTAAAAAATACTTACTCTGTAAATAGTGCAAAACCATCAATACAAGACTATAGCTGCTTAAAGTACCACGACTGGCATCATTTATATCACGAAAACTTGCCCACTTCTTAATCACAAGTACTAATGGACGAACTCGATTCTCAACTGCAAATAAAATAAATACATCTCAAAAAAAGCACATTTAACTAGGCAGCAATCAATCAAAATTTGTTCCTACTTGATCAATTTGATACTCTTAGAATTTAAGATTACCTTTTGCAACCATTTTGTAGAAATTATTTAGTTATTCTACAACTACTATCCATCTTACAAAAATCAGAAAAAAATATTTACATTTAAAAACAGCCTTTTGAGTAGTAAGATCCACAGACACATTACAAGGGGTATGCCAGCTAACTTGCAGATAAGAAAAACTGAATGCATCAGTCAACGTAGCAGTGTCATATCCTATTTCTCTCCAGTTCATTGTACAAATTTTTCCCTGAATTAACTTGCTGCCAGGTCAGACCACATCTAATTTTTTAGTTATTATTTATTTAGGCTATATAAACTTTGAGGGCAGGGAAAGGAATTCTCCTGGTTGGAGGACATACAGATCATTCTTAAGTTTTCCTCAGGATCCATTAAAACAGTAACACCTGCATACAAACATTAATTTTTAAATTCGCCTTGTCCTCAATAGCTTTTTATGTAGATAAGATGTTAGATACAGTAACTCGTTAAATCAAGACATATGTTTTTCATGAAGAAAGATACGAATGCAGTCATATTCCAGGTATGATATTCTGTATTTCTGGGAATATAGATCGCCTTCTAATTAGGGTAGTCGTGTGTTGTAGGGAGCTGTCACTCACCACCACCTCCTAGGGACCTTGCAGCATACTTAATTTATTATGTGCAGATATGTGGAAGCAGATTATCAGCTCAGTCACATGCCTTATGATGGCTTTACAATGCCTTGTATGTTGTGGAGTATCTTTTCTAACCTGACAACATTGTGCAAAGTTTTACATTCTGCACATCAGGACAGGAGTATAACAATACGTCATCAATTCATCCAGGACAACAGACATCCTACAACAGCACAAGTTGGGGTGCTCTCTGTTATTCTGAAAATGCTATCAAGCGTGTGATTTTCTCACAACTTGGTCACAGTGGTTCACCACACATGCCCCTGTAAGTGGCCCTTTTTTTTTTTTCCTCAGCAGGAACAATCTAGATCTAGAAGACCTCTTAGAAACAACAAAGCTCTTTACCACCAGTCACCTTATTCCCAGTGGCTGAACTAAAAAGATATGGCTATTAGTACACTAACTGTGAGATGCAGAAGAATTATTTTACAGACATCATATGAACATGCATTAACTGAAATAGGATTTTTCCAAGAATGAAAATGCAAATAGGCTTAAATTCCCAACAGGACTCTTTTGTGTGTGTGTGTCACAGTGGAAAAGATCTCTTTTTAGTTGACCTTACTCTGAAGTGAGGTTTTCTGTCTGCTAGTGCCTGTAACTAGTATATATAACAAAGTTAGCATGCAACATGGCCAGTAAACTTTTCTTGATACTCTTTCATCAATGAACAAGCTACCTGCTCAAGAAAATGCAGTTATATCATTTGCTCAAAGGTCCACCTTCAACTAATTGAAAAATATCTACCTGGGTTGTATAGGGAAGAGTGTAGCCAGCAGGTCAAGGGAAGTCATTCTCCCCCTCTACTCTGCACTGGTGAGGCCACAACTGGAGTACTGTGTCCAGTTCTGGGCTCCCCAGTTCAAGAGGGACAGGGAACTACTGGAAAGAGTCCAGCGTAGGGCTACAAAGATGATTCAGGGATTGGAGCATCTCCCTTATGAGGAGAGACTGAGAGAGCTGGGACTCTTTAGTCTGGAGAAGAGAAGGCTGAGGGGAGACCTTATCAATGCCTACAAGTATCTCAAGGGAGGGTTGAAGGAGGAGGGAGCCAGACTCTTTTCAGTGGTTCCCACCGAGAGGACGAGGGGCAACGGGCACAAGTTGGAACATAAGAGGTTCCACTCAAATATGAGGAGAAACTTCTTCACGGTGAGGGTGACGGAACCCTGGAACAGGCTGCCCAGGGAGGTTGTGGAGTCCCCTTCTTTGGAGATTTTCAAAACCCGCCTGGATGCAGTCCTGAGTAACATGCTCTAGCTCTGGGCAATCCTGCTTCAGCAGGGGAGTTGGACTAGATGATCTCTGTGGTCCCTTCCAACTCTAGAAATTCAGTGAAATTCAGTGAAATTGCTGATTTAATTGCAGACATGCCTCCTTAGGCAAACAACTGACAACACAACAGCACAGACTGCACTTTCTAGTTCTGCTTAATCTACCTACATTTTCCTGGATATTCTGCTTCTCTTTGCCATATCATCTTTGATGTTTTCTACAGCACCTATGCAGCAACATAGAAGGACTGATTTCCAAAAAGACACAAGGCCATCCACAGAAATATTTATGATTTTTCTTTTGTAATCATGCTCATGTATAATAATAAGTTCTTAGGTCGCCTAAGCATCTGCTTTGTTCTAATGGAAAATGAGACCTCCTCGTAAGAAGTAATTAGATCTTTTTTCTCCCATGCAGGCTGACGCCCTTCAGCCACAAATTTAACTGAGCAGGCTAATATTTTTAATGCTATCCATCCATTGATATGACTTCTAAAAGACTTCTAGAAGACACTGTCCGATAAAAGTTTACATTTACTTTTGTTTACCTTATGCCACCTGAGTGTTTTCTGGTCCAAAGATGACAAGACAGACTATGCTTGATACAGTTTGCCTATTTAATAAGGTTTAGACAATCAGGAGACATCATTTGCAATCACAAGTCTCTTAGCTACTAACTCACTCCTTAACCTCAAGAAAGTAACAATATTTATCCTTCATCAGGAGATTAAAAAAAAATAATCAATTTTTCTGGCCTTACATAAGTGGGCACCAAGGCAGAAGGGAAGAAAAGGTGGGACACTAGGACCCTTCCTACTACTTTGTTCACATCTGGACTCTTGTCTGCCCAACAGTGATTTGCTGAGAGGAATAAGGGAAATCTGTGGCAGTAGGTAGGAATGCCTATATCAACATCAGGCTTGGTGAAGTGACCCCATTTCCCTAACCTTTCTAACCTTGGAAGGAAATCCTTCTCCAGGCATATGCCTTCCCGGAAATATGAAGAAACTGACCAACTGATCCAGAACAAGTTGTAGAATCTCCTAGTAACATGAATATGGAACACTGAATTTTTACTAGTATCTTGGTCAGAGTTGTTCAACTAGTAAGAGTAACTTCTACTGATAACTTCCTCTGCTAAGTATAAAGGAATCCCTGTGTGCAGGAACTGAAAAAGGTGGCAAAGGAAGAACAACAAATGGCCTTTAAGAATTAGCCTGAGGTCCACTCTTTATTTATTTATCTGCCAAATGATATTGTGATGCTATGTAAGAAAACCTTAGTTTAGCATTAAGACTGTTGTTCTTATTACTTCCCCTTCAGAAGTCTGTTTCACAATCTCTCCCTAAAATGCAAACTCCTGAGAATACAAAATCCAGCTTTGTTTTGGGGTTAGTATAAAAACTTAAGAAGTATTTTGGATCTTCCAAGGAAAGACTCTGTAATACCATACAGATACAGCAGCTATCAGCCACACATCCCTATCAGTGGCTGTAAGGAAATAAAATGAACTGGAGATTATACCACTAGATACCCACTAGTATAATGATCTTGTTATCTGCAGAATACTGCAGCAGCCCTTGTAGCAGATATGTGGACCTTAATATGAAGAATCTTTCTTTATCTTCTGAATATAACAATATTCAATTAAAAACATACCTAGCCAATATATGTCAGTTTTCTCCATATACATGGAGTAACAGAAGCTATCTTAAAGCTATCTAATGCAGCTTATTAGGTCATTAAATACATAGAAATCCAATATATTCAACTGAATTTTAATAGCCTATTAATACCAAAATACAAATTTAAAACCCAAAGTTTATAGAAATAAGAAAATACATAAAAAACTTACTGTATGCATAGGTTCTCAGAAGGAATGTATTCCTTATTCCTACAACATTGTTTACATTCAAGTCAAACTCCACACGGCTATTGGGGAGGACAAAAAAAAAAAGAATCAAGCATCATGGTATTCACTTTCAGAATATTTATTACCTAATTAATGACAGAGATAATGCTCTAGAAACTTACTTCAGAGTTTTGGTGCTGTGATGTCTACTCTTGTTTTGTTTATAGTACTCAAACTGCTTATAGACTTGAATTCCATTGTTATAAAAATGTAATTGTTGTTTTACATAGAGAGCACATGTAGATCCAAATTTATACCTTAGGACAACTTAATATATCAAATATGTTTTGGATTTTTAATGAATCTTTCTCCCAACCAGATATGCACTATGTGATTAACTATGGATAACATCTGATGCCAGAGAAGATTCTCTGAGATACCAATTTAGGAAATCATGCCAATGAGCTGAATTCCAAGAGATCAAAAAGTAAGAATCTTTTTTCTGTAATGATGGTCAGAGATAACTGGGAAGCACTTTGAAATGAAACCTGTTTATTAGTAAACACTGCGTGTTTTGTGATAAAACAGTTTTTAGCTGTTTCATGCTGTTAACAGCAAGTAAGAACAAGGCAAACAACCACTATCTGCTTTATTTATATCACACACCACCCCAAAGTTTGAATTCCATACTGCATTCCATAGACCTCAACTACTTACAGTACTCAAGAAAGAATATTAAATTCACAGTAAATAAGCTATAGCAACACTATAATTTGCAACAAGAAGAGGCCATTATTGACAACGAAGTTGCTATCTGCAATGTACAGCTATTTCCATTTTATATATCCAAGCCTCATTCACATAGCATTTGTTTGTCTGAATAGTCCTTTGGATTTTCTTGAATTATTGCAAGGATAACAAAGACCTGGAATTTATTAAACTGGCTAAAACACATTAATTTGGTTCCTACAGAAGATTTTTGACATCAATAATTACATTAGAACATTCCTTGGACCAGAAGCGTTACATAATTTTAAACCTGAATTAGTATCAAGCATGACTTTTTAGGTGTTTTAAAAGCATAGGACATAATAGTACAGGAAATAAACAAACTTGAGCTACTGCTTTACAGTTGTAAAAATAATCATAAACATCAGTAAGAATATTAGATGTATGTGCCAATATAGTAAAGAAATATGCCAGGCTGCATGTGTAATTCCAATTAACCCCAATTGACAAGATTACTATTTACTAGATGCTGATTAAGCAACTTCTGTTGCAGTTATTTTGTACTTTAATAGGCATATTTAATAGATGTTGCAATTATGGCAAGTGATAAAGGTTTGGGAACTGTTTGGACTCAAGTTCTACCAAAATCACTGAAGGAGAGGAAAAGAGCCAACTGAACATCAAATGTTGTGTAACAGGAAGCTTTTGCATTCTCTGTAGTACAGAAATCTTGCTAATCAATCAAAGGCTTGTCTGGTAGCTCTGCTGGCTCAATGCTGGCTCTCAGCATTGGAATTACTTCCTGGGAAGGACTACAGAAAAAAAGATAAGTTTTTAAGTGCAGTGGATCTTTGCTTACTATTATAGGGCTAAAAAAAACCTTTAAGATGAAAAGGGAGACACAGACTGAATGATTTCTTATTCACCAAATCACAAGTAAATGGGAAATGGCAATCTCCAGGTACATATGGACCATTGGCAACACATTAGAATTCAGATGCACAGATACCTTATAGCGGCCTTTCAGTACTTAAAGGGAGGCCTAAAGGAAAGATGAGGACAAAGTCTGTAACAGGGCCTGTTGTGATAGGACAAGGGGTGATGGTTTTAAACTGAAAGAGTATGGATTCAGACTAGATATAAGGAAGGATTTTTTTTACAAAGAGAGCGGTAAAACACTGAACAGGTTGCCCAGCGTGGTGGTAGATGCTCCATCCCTGGAAATATTCGTGGTGAAGTTGGATAGGGCTCTGAGGAACCTGATCTAGTTGAAGATCATTGCAGGGGGACTGGAGTAAGATGACCTTTAGAGGTCCCTTCCAACCCAAACTATTCTATGATTCTGTTCTATACTGCTCATTGAATTCTACCATCTTATCTCAGCAGCCAGGCATCAAGAAAACTGGCTTTCACTGGAAGCTTGTCATGTTTAGTTTCTGATTTTGGCTAAAACAAGCTTAGTGCCTTCTGTACAAAATATTCAACCCATTTTTCAAGATCTCTGTGAAAAAATGAATGAGTGTGTACCTATGTATATTCATGAACCTACAAAAGACAAAGGCAGATAAGAGACTGGGAAGAGACAGATGCTTAAATAAAAAGATAAAACATAGGTGGAGGTGACAGTTTACATAAGAGAAAAAATAACTGGGGAGAAAAAAACCCCAAACAAAACAAAACCCCAACCCAAAGCCATGTCATTCTCCTCCCTCTCGCCTCTTTCAAAAAAACAGCACAGGAAACCAGATGGTTAACAGTACTGGGTTTTTAAGGATGAAAAATGTAATGGGCAGCTTCTACTCTAAGAAGATTATACTTTGATCTACCAGGAAATAAATAATGCTTTAAATCCTGTGTGTAAGGTATATAAATATCATGACTGTTAATTTTTTTTCTTTTTTTTTTCTGCAATTGACCAAAGTATGGACAATTAATGCCTACAAAAAGACTTTAATCTGACATAATCACTCCCAAATTTAAGGTTTCTTCTTAAAGTTTATTTTCTGATTTTAAATTGGAAAAAAATATTCTTGCTATAACTCCATGATTTATTCAGTACTTGTACCAGGAATTTATCATTTAGTGTATCGATAAAGACTAGCATTGTTATATGAAGCTAAGCCATTTAACCCAAATTTTAGCTTTACAATACTTGCAGAAAGCATGGAAGAAACAACCTTCTGTACTGCTAGGGGAGAATGTCATTAGATAAAAATCATTCCAATTTTTAAAAGATAAGCAAGTATACAGAAGTACATATGAGATTATGTGAAAATGAAAAATAAAAGTATAAGGCAAAAAGCCTAACAAGTGTTACATAATCTCGATGCAAGAAAAGCTTAAATGGATTATATTATTAGTTCAAATGGAAAACATGACAGATTCAGTTTTATCACAGCAGGGTTTCTGCCCTGATAAAGGTATATTGTGTCAAAAGCACAATGTGATATGCTTTTATGAAGAGAGGCCAGAGGAGTGGGCTTGTTTGTTTTTAAAAGAGACAGGGTTGCAAAATTTTAGAGTTGTATAGGCAGGATAGAGCTGTATAGGCAGGATAAGATAGAGTTGTATAGGCAGATAAGACAGTTACAAGAGAACTGTTCAAAGTACTATTTACAAGAAGTAGTCAAGCTACGTTATTCCATGAAGGTGATACATATAAGTCTTCGAAAATCTAAGCCCATAAACATACGAAGATTATAACAATACTAAGACCCCCAAACAATTTGAGTGCTTTGCAGTTTTTATCTCTATCAGATACTTTTATCACACACAATAAGAAGTACATTGTTCTCTGTCCTACAACATCCCTCTTGATTATTCATTTTCACATCTTCACAATGAAGATACAATGAATACAGTAACATACAACACGTCCACTTCTCTCCAATTACTTCCCCTTCTAAAAAAAAAAGTCATATAATTAGTACCTAACACTGAATAGAACATGTAATACTACTTTGTTAAACAATGAATACCTCCCTAAAAGACAACAGAGTATTCTATTCTAAAATAAAGACTTTTTTTTTAATCAAGAATACAACTTCATCACAAGAATCCCAAGTTTTGTTTAGTGTTGTTTCTGTAATATAAATGCTGTGAATTAGTCCTTAAGTAGCTCAACAGTTAAGTTTGCACAGCAAGCAAAATTATCTTTCATGACAGTTTTCATCCCACTGTTGTTTTTCTGTCCATTTACCAACTGGAGTCCACTATGTACAAATAACCCATAGAAATACATGACGTACTGCTACTAATTCATGTCCCAGAAACTAAACAGCATCTCAGCAACAACAGGAAGTAAGCTGACTGCCACTGGATGCTAGCTGTACAAATCTGCAACACAAATAAACGAAGTATGAATTCAGCAGGACTACTCATATGGACATTTCCTACGTCAGAGCCTAAAAAATGATGTTGAATGGAATACTTGCCTGACTTTATCCCTGAACTTCACTATTGGCACTTTTGCGCGTATCAGCTGAGGTCGCTCAATGTAGCTTGCTGAAAGGGAGAAACACATGCAATTAAGTTTCACGTAAGGTGCTGATCCTAAAGTAAGATCCTAAAGTGAAGCCATAGTTAACTGATTTATAGTAAATAGTAGCTTATTAAATTTAGGAAACAAAAAAATCTCAGAAGGGTTGTGCTAAACTAAGTAACCTTTAGCAACTGCAGCAAAATATACAATCTAGGAAAGTGTGTGGAAAAAATGGAGTAAACATTAGAGAAAAATATAAGTGGAAGATTTTTCTGTGGGAAGTCTATTCTAGAAATTTGAACATAAGGAATGCAGTTCTACAATGCTTTCACTGAGCCGTACTTGTAATAGAAATTCTGAGTGGTTACTATTAAGGTTCAAAAAGAAGGGAGCAAAAACATACATATCCAGGATGGGCAGACACTTGAGCCCAGCACTACATTGTAGCAGCATGACCAGCTGCATACATTTTAATCATGTGAGTTTGCTTAGACTTGAAACTATGCATTTTACTGATCAAAAATATTAACATAACTGTGTCTTCGCTAGGCAATGGTTATGCTTAAAACTTCCTCTAGAAACTGTTTATATGACTGATGAAGTACACAGCAAGAAATATATTTCCTATTGAATCGTTACTGAAAACAGCTTTCCATCAAAGATGGGATTAGCTTTATTTGCTTTTGCTTTAACAGTGATAGGACATGCAATAAATATACAATCACAGGAGTGCACCTCAGATGATTATCCACCTATTGCAGACACACAAGCTCAATGCCAGACCATCCAAACCCAAGCAGAGCTTATTAGCTCTGCCAGACTCATGCAGTCCCACCAAATGCACCTTGGCAGTCAGCACCCCAAAACAGTTGTCAGTCATATTATCTGCGATTTCCCTATTCTTGACGCTGTCTCAGGCTATATTTAGTAGTTGCCCATAATCCTGAATGAGAAACATGCCCAAGAAAGTAAAGGAAAAGACAAAGAAAAGCAGAACCTGTAGGTTACATTATATGAATTTGGGGAAAAGTACAATTTTAGTAATATCTTCTGTTGCAAAATCTAGTACCTTGAATTTGACCATATGTGACATCATACATTTTCTCCATGCTTCTATAAATTAACCTCAAATTAGCATAAATATGTATGACAAAGCTAGATGTAATACAGACTAAAAGGAACCTTAAATAAAAGCTGATCTTCACTTTCTTGGAAAAAAAAAAAAGGAAGTATTTCTATCAGTCCGGATAGCAACCTCAATTAAGCTGTGTTATTTCCATTGCATTTAGATGACAACTTCAGGTTTGGCAAAACCCTACCGTGCAATATTCAATTAAAACACATTTTACTTTTTTTTTTGAGACTTTCTGAAAGTGTTTTATGGATACGTACGTTTAGACAGATTCGATCTAAGGTAATCCTTTATATGGGTTTGAATGCATTGTATGATCCTATGCAATATATAAAGACTGGGGCTCAAAAAAAGAGATAACCTTATTAATATATTAATTTTAAAGGAAGACTACTCAAATCCACATTAACTGAATGTAAATCTAGTACAACTTACACAAGTGTCTCCTCTTTCTAGTTGCACCTGCAGATGCATCCAACCATCCCCCCTCCAACATCCCAGAACATTCTTAAAGTGAAGCTATAGAGCATTTAAGAGCTCTCTGCCTCCTTTCTTTCCACTACCAAATTTAAGACAAAGATGCCCAATGTATTAGCATGTGGTAGACAATGGTGAGTATCTATCTGCATGCCATAGCAATTAACTTTCCTCATTATGACCTTTCTCAAGTGTCCTTTAGAAGTCAGCTGAACTCATCCTAGTGGCAATCCACTTCCAAACACATCCTTGTCTGCAGATGCCTCCCCATACTTGATGGATGCTTGTGCCAAATTCATTGGCAAAGAAAAAAAAAAATAAAAATCTTAAAACATAATTCCAATCTGTTTCTCAGTGTGAAAGAAAGCAAAGAGGATGTCAGAAGGCAGTAACTTGTTGCTGGTACCCTCTGTCTTGGCTCACATGGATGACACTGTTAGCAGAACCTCTGTTGTACATTAGATAATCATACTTACAAGGGAATAAACAGTCACATACATGCAATGTGGAATTCTGAAATACACACACATTGACTAAGTGCCTTAGGAAACTGACTTCCTGACCTTGAAGCTACGATCAGAGGGTCTACACCAAAACACACGTAAAGAATTCTACATAGCTGCTCCACAGTTTATAGCATGTTTGTGAGGTCACAAATCCCACTTCAGCTGTAGTGAAAAAGAATATAACCACTTCAAAGAAGAATAAGCACAGTTTCATAACTAACTCATTAATGCAGAATTTCAGATTAAACATCTTAAGTCTCTATTTTCTGTTACTGAATAACAGACTAGGCAAATGTACAAAAATATTAATCTGAAACATGGTACATGCCAAAAATATCTTTGGCATCCTGTAGACGTAGCCTGCTCTCCTTGATACAGTTATACTATAGAAAGAGACACTGGACGACACAAAAGCCTGAATCCAGGGTCATGGAGAATATAGGAGGGTACAACCCAGCACAGGATTAACTAATTGTTGATGTTTGGAATTCACTCACCCACCTGCATTGTACTTCAAGGTCATTCATTTGAATTCCTTTGCTTGTGCTAGCTGTAGGTTCCCCACTAGAAAACTGCTAGGTAGATTCCTCTTTGATATCTGAGTCTCAACACCACTGCATCACTTTGTATAACTAAGAAAAAATGAGCTCTTTGTCATTTATTCAGATAGTAAACACCAGACAATTCAGTTCTGCTAAGTTGTTTTTCAAATGAATGTTACCTAGACAGATCTCAAGACAGTGATCAGTTTGATGTTTACTCTCAGTGGTTTGGATTATACTCTCTTCCATATGTTGTTAACAGTTACCACCCCAAATTCATGTTTCACATTTCTAAAAGACATTTGCTTGAGTGTACAGTTCTGGGAATGTTAGCTGATACTGTAAAAAAATAGCTATGTGCAGGTATCTGAACAAATAAGTCAAAAACTTACTCTGCTAGCCTCTGAAACAGAAGCTGTATCACTGCTATCCTTACATCTCTCCACTCTAGGAGAAATACAATACACACCTTTAAGACTAATATGTCCCACAAAAACAGTGAATAAATATGAGAAGCTTTTCCCTACTTTACTTTGTGACTAGACTTTTCAAAGAAAGAATACACCTTCATTTCAGTCAATATTGCAGATGCAGAATGACAACACAGAAAAGCCTCTGCTCTAAGACTTTAAATCTGATGGGCTCAAATTCCTTGCTCACACTTGTTACCTTCTGTAAGCCTGAACTTGAAGTAAGCTGGAGCTTAGGTAAAATTTGAATCCACTTCCCAAACCTCCTAGAATTAAACGCTAATCTAACAATCACAGGTAACTGTATATAAAGGACAAAAGGGATGGCACTTAAAAGTTTTGAAGATGATTTACCTACAAGATAGATAAATCTGCACTTAGAATGATTCCTAATTTATCAATCAATCATGGAATTAAGATGAAATAAGCAAGAGAATCACACTCTTCTTTTAGCCCTTATTTTGGAATGTACAGGAACACCCCAGAGTAGAAGAACAAAGAAGAAGATGTTAGGAGAGGCACAGCCAGAAAACAGTCCTCTCAAGTTTCTGAATTGAAATGATCTGGAAACAGTTTTTAAAAAGCACTACAGCATCATCCATACCACGAATCTCCTCCTTATTTCTTTTTGTCCTTAAAACCCTTCCACGAAATCAGCCCAAGAACTTTGTTTTAAATAACATCTTATCTCTCCTCTTCTTTCTCTTACATACTTAGCACATCCTTCATTAGCTTTCATGTCTTTCATGTTTGGTCAAACTATGTTTATTTCCGTTCTCTTGTGTGAAGCGAGGAGTAAGTTTAATGACAGCTCTCACACTTGTTGAGAACATGCTGCAGTCTTTCTTCTACAGAAGAGAAAGAAGAAGGAATACTTAACCAGCATTGTCAAAGAGGGATTACCTTAAGATTACAGGATGGCATCATACGTATTAACTGGACAGCACAAAACTTAAAAATAACGATCAGAAGAAGGTTCATATCTATTAGGTTGTTAAAATGCACATGCAATAAAATGCAGAATACTTTTGAAAAGAAATGGCAGTTCTTAAAGAAGCATGGTACAGACGAATTTTACACTTGCTTGAACACAGTGGCAGCACACACGCACTGCTAACCCTTTAAAAGCTGCAAATCTAGAATTCTGGCTCAAGTTGAAGTAATGTCTCAAAAGAATTACAATTTCTGTAGGCTTTTTCTTTAAATGAATGTACCTTTAGATCCCATCCTTGATGATTAAGCAGAAACTGACTTCTGAAAACAGCAGAAGCTAGGAAGTCACTTTTTAAAAAACATAGTTCTATTAAAAAAGAACTTAGCAACCAACCTAGAGCTGACAATGAACAACCATTTCTAAGCACGTAAATCAGACTCCACAAACCCACAGGAATGCCAACAGGACACCACTGAAGTGCATACTGCTAAGAGCATTTCCACAAAGGTGAAAAAAAAGCATACGAACCTATTAGCTTCTGAAGTCTAGCCTGGGGAAACTCCCCCCCTGTTCCCATCCAAAACCAACCCACAAGCTGCTTTGGAATTATGGATGATAGCCATTATACTTGCCCAAATGAGCTTTATTCAAAATATTAAACAAGGGCACCCCCCTTATTTCAGAAGTACTGAACCTGAGCATAGTTGATCTACAGTTTGTAAATGAACTAAATCCAAATGGAAGATCCATACAGTAAAAAGCCTTTTCATTTTGAACATTTCAAGCAACTTTTGCATGTCAATTCTGTCCATAGAACATCTATACACAGGCACAAGGACAGACGTCTATGTATAGGAATTCATGCCCACAGTGATGATAATGGTATGAAGAAATGATCTCAGAGGTTGACATACCACAACTAAGAGAGTCTGACAGGAGAGGTAATACCAGCAGAGATCTGTCCTACCTCACCTTCCAAAGAATATTTTGATTAAATGAAGCTGACCAAAGGCACTTGCAAGATAACACAGAATTAGGGAAGCATCAAAAACAAGCATTGGCATAAATAAAAACCTTCTGGGATTGCTCCCCATGACCATCACGTCTTTCCGATATTCGTATTCCTGGGCAAAAAAACTTAAGTGTGTTTTAGTGTCTTCTGTTGTGTCACAGAACACAACCTCTTGAAAAAAGAAGACGAGGATACTTTATTTAGATGTTCTCCTTCTGATCCCTGAAAACACAACCATTTTATCACTGTGCTTTCAGAAAGCACTGGAACAACTTGCATCCTAGCCAACACAGACCAAGTTCTGGACTCTTCATGCAAACATCAATATACAGTAGCAATAAGCCATTAAGTACCAGATGCCTATTCTGCAGTAGATTTATCAAGTCTCTCGTCAATTGAGCTGTTGAAATCTGGGTATGCACACTAGCCAATGAAGAAATTTTGTAGGCTGCATTAAAATTTATGGTGTGTTCCTTTTACCATTGCAGGATTGTTCAGAACAGCAAAATAAAGGGTAGCATCATAGAATGTATCACAACTCTGAGAAGCAAGGGGACACAGTCATTGTTATCAATACATGACAGGGTCTTTTATAATTCAAAAGATGGTACAGAAGTGTCTTTGAAAAGAGGACTATCACATTTAGGTCAAGAGCTGCCCACTTGAATTCTTCATCTGAAGAGAGACTAAACAACAGCTTATAAGAACTATGAATTGATCTGTTTCTCCTATATGTGCTCGTACTGTCAACATTTAATATTTTCTTCACAAGCCATCTAAGTTAATTATTTCAGTGGTATCAAGCCCACTCCCACCCCCCAACCAAGAAATTCTACACAGTCTTCTATGAGTGACATTGTTTCCCACAGCACTCTCCTGGAGAAACTGGCTGCTCACAACTTGGATGGGTATATGCTTTTCTGGGAAAAAAAACTGGCTGGGTGGTCGGTCCCAAATAGTAGGGGTGAATGGAATTAAATATAGTTGGTGGCCAGTAACAAGTGGTGTTCCCCAGAGTTCAGTACTGGGTCCTGTTCTCTTTAATATCTTTATCAATGATCTGGAAGAGGGGATCGAGTGCACCCTCAGTAAGTTTGCAGACAACACCAAGTTGGGTGGGAGTGTTGATCTGCTTGAGGGTAGGAAGGCTCTACAGAGGGACCCAGACAGGCTGGCTGGCTGGGCCAAGGCCAATGGGATGAGGTTCAACAAGGCCAAGTGCCGGGTCCTGCACTTGGGTCACAAACAACCCCATGCAGCACTACAGGCTGGGGGAAGAGTGGCTGGAAAGCTCCCTGAAGGAAAAGGACCTGGGGTGTTGGTTGATAGCTTGCTGAATACAAGACAGCAGTATGCCCAGGTGACTGAGAAGGCCAACAGCATCGTGACCTGTACCAGACATAGTGTAGCCAGCAGGAGTAGGAAAGTGATTGTCTCCCTGTACTTGGCACTGGTGAGGCTGTACCTCGAATACTGTGTTCAGTTTTGGGTCCCTCACTACAAGAAAGACATTGAGGTGCTGGGGTGCACCCAAAGAAGAACCATGAAGCTGCTGAGGGGTCCTATATGGAGCAGCTGAGTGAGCCGAGGTTGTTCACCCTGGAGAAAAGGAGGCTGAGGGGAGACCTTACCACTCTCTACAACTACCTGAAGGGAGGTTGTAATGACATGGGTGTTGGTCTCTTCTCTGGAGTAACAAGGGACAGGACAAGAGAAAAGAGCCTCAAGTTGCGCCAGAGAAGGTTTAGATTGGGTATAAGGAAATAATTCTTCACTGAAAGTGTTGTCAAACATTGGAACAGGCTGCCCAGGGGAATGGTTGACTCACCATCCCTGAAGGCATTTAAAAGACGTAGATGTGGTGCTGAGGGACCTGGTTCAGTGGTAACTTGGCAGTGCTAGGTTAACGGTTGGATTAAAGGTCTCCTACAAACATAACAATTCTATGATTCTCTGAACTTATTTTCCAAATTCTTAAGAGTATTTTCCCCAGGAAGCCACTGCAATCTAAAAGAGCAGTAAGAGTTCACTTAACAGAGGTTTCCCAGACAGCAATCTACTTGCGGCGCCCCACCGCCTCCACTCCCAATTGCGGTTTACAATTCTAAAGTCATTTTAGATGCTACCCCTTCTTGAAGCCCACTAGTTTGCAAGACAACTGTTATGTTTTTCTAATTACTATCCATGAGCACAAAGATAAGTAACATTACTAAATATTTATAGCTGTTCTCCAAACAATACTGTGATTAGAAGCTAGACAAGATACAACTACACAGATTAGTTACAACTGTGCATTGATACTTCTTCCAGAATTGCCAATAATCTTACCACCTCACTGTAGGCAGGAACTTACAAAGTTTAGTACTGAAGAGTTTTTGGATTAAGCTGAGTATATGTCTTGCTTCAGTCTTCTGATTTACCTGAAATAGAATATTAAAATTAAAGAAAAAAGTTGGTATCTCTCATTTAAATGTTCCAAGTAAGTATGCTTTACTTTTTAATAAAATTAATGCGCAGAATAAGACACGAACAATGCATTCCAGAGCCTACATATACCTTTAGTACAGCAAAAGCCAGACAGAACAATTCATATTCAATACGCAAAATAACTATCTGACATTCATAAATCATAGAACTTGATGAAAACCTAGCCCCACTTATACAGAAATGTCTTTTCCTTTTCAATGATGCTTCAATTCTTCCAAAATTATGCTCTATTTAGAATTTGTTACATCTTTTCTCTCAACCCAAATTCTACTCAGAAACATTTTCTCTCACCATTTGATATTTTACATATCAAATTCCTTCCCTCTAACCTGTTCTGGTGCTTGGGGTTATTTCTCCCTAGGTGCAGGACCCTACACTTCATGTTGAACTTCATTAGGTTCCTCACTGCCCAAGTCTCCAGCCTGTCTAGGCCTTGCTGAATGATTGGTGTCAGCCACTTCTCCCAGTTTTGTGTAATCAGAAAACTCACTGAGGGTAGATTCTGTCCCTTCATCTGTGTCATTGATGAATATGTTGAACAGACCAGACCCAGTACTGACCCCTGGGGAAAACCAGTAGTTACAGGCCTCCAACTGTACACTGCACCACTGATCACAACCCTCTGAGCTCTGCCACTCAGCCAGTTCTCAATCCACCTCGCTGTCCTCTCATCTAACCCACAATTCCAAAGCTTACCTATGAGGATGTTATGGGAGACGGTGTCGAAAGCCTTGCTGAAGTCGAGGCAGACAACATCCACTGTTGTCCCCTTATCTACCCAGCCTGTCATGCCATTGTAGAAGGCTATCAGATTGGTCAAGCATGACTTTCCCCTAGTAAATCTATCCTGACTACTCCCAATAACCTTCTTTTTCTCTACAAGCTTAGAGATGACATCCAGAATGAGTTGTTCCATCCCCTTTCCAGGGATGGAGGTAAGGCTGACTGGCTTGATATTTCCTGGGTCCTCCTTCATGCCTTTTTTGAAGTCTGGAGTGACATTGGCTTTCCTCCAGTCCTATGGTACCTCTCCTGTTATCCATGACCTTTCAAAGATGATGAAGAGTGGCTTTGAAATACCATCTACCAGATCGCTCAGCACTTGTGGGTGCATCCCATCAGGGCCATTCCAGCCTTATGAAAGCCCATACATTTGGAAAACAGACTTTGTTTTAACTATGTATGTTGTAAATTACTTACTGGTTCTTCTTTAACCACCAGGCACAAGTCACCATCACTGGTACGAGTAGCAAACCCATTCAGTGAGGACCCAACCAAAAAGAGTCGGCTCTCTACAACAGAAGAATCGCAGAATACAAACTGATGTGATATATCATACTTTAAGGGGAAGGAAGAACCGTGATTAAGTAACCAAATTCAAAACATACGTGGAAAAATTCGCTGAATTTCTCTCTGGAGTTCTGTTCTGCAGAGCTCTTTTCTGTTTAAATCACAGGTCTGTTGCTGACATGCTTGAAACAAATCCAAAACCTGCTGACTTAACTTGACAGACACATGCAAAAAGTAATGACACAGAGAAGTGAACATTCTTTTCTGCCAGAGATGCAATTACATGAAACACAGAAGACTATATTAAAACAAAACAAAAACCATCAAAATCCAGCATCACTTCACATGACCTATTTCACTGTCTAGAGTTTACCATACTTGAATTCATGTTGAACATCTCCCCAGAAGAAATTTCTACAAAGTTTTTAAATTTAAATTTGTTCAATCCGTTATAAAATGCCTATCCACAGAAAAAAATTTTTGCCTCATCAGTATCTTCAGCCTTCAGGGAATAAGCAATGAAAGACTAGAAATACCTTCTGCTGTCTTTAATGTCAACAGATTGCCTACCAGTAACAGGGAGAAAAATAAATATTAAGACTCATTTAAGGTAGCTTCCTTCTTTTATCCCACACAAACTACTAAAGAAGTAGTCAGATCTTTGGTGGAAGGAGGTATTAACTGTCTCTTTCACAACACTGTTACATTCTATAATCAACAGGCATATTTATACTACAAAAAAAATATCTTCTGTCATGTTGGTGCAAATAAAGTATGAAGACCAATTAGCCACTTTGGGTTTTTTTAACTAAAAATTAACAAAAAACACACTTCCAACTCCACTGTCTACCTAAAGATGACATCCTCTTCTATATTCCATAACAGCTGCGGCGCTAACTTTTATCTCCATCTGAAGAACGGCACTGGACACCTTTACAGGCCCAATACTGTATTTATTCAGAATTGGCTTCTCTCACAGTACTCGGGTGTTTTTTTTTTTTCCATCAAGATTCTCCCTGACCCCCAGTCATGTGACAAATGGGCCATCCCTCCAGTTTCTACTTCCTGGAGCAGACATGTAGGTTTCCTGACATTAGTATGGAAACCAAACAACACAAGCAAACATGACCCCTGCCCCCAAAAATGCTCCAACCCAAACACACACAAGGAGGCTCTATGGGACATTGGTGGCAGCTACGCTTTACTGATATTCCTTGCAGAAATTTTTGTGGTGTCTCACAGCACCATTGGACCCTGCCTACCTTTAAGGCAGATGTCAAGATTCAAAGCTGTTACCTTATCTTTGGCCACAGGGAGGGTGGTTTCTATGGAGTCTAGAAACAAACTATCATGCAATGGAGGGATACGTCCAGTTAAATCTGGTTCCTGATGTGCACGGAGCAGCGGTGAACGAACTGATCCTGGGAAGGAGTATCTACGTTCTTCTGGTAAAGGCACTGCTTGGTTAACTACAGTTGTTTCGGGATGATATGAAGGAAACCGCTGCCGTTTGGCATCATGTGGAACACTTTGTTCCCTTAGTCTCCTGAAAATAAAAAAATAAATCAAAAAGAAAAAAAAAGAAAATTAGGAGACAGTCATTCCTCTAGTTTGCAAGGTCCAACCTACGATTAAAAGACAGTTGCTACAAAGTACAAATACCAATGCCATATTATGTGACTATTTCACTACAAGCAAATATACTACAGAACAAAAGGCATGCCTATCGTAGACAGTAGGTGAAATAAACCTGAAATGGGAAAAGAGAATATATAACTGCAAAAGCACAGCTACCCTTGAAATGAATTGATGCAACTGTTTTACAAGAGCGTATTAACCTGTTGAAACCTAAATGGGAAGTTCAGTTAAGCAGGACAGCTTGGAAAGCTGGTTGTACCATTTTGGTGACAATATGCTTTTTTAAAAAAAAACCCACAAACATACAGACTATGTAAGGGTACTTTTCGTTAAAATCAAGGTAAGTGAAGCAACAAGTTTTGTGAGTTCTGAATACCCAGTGACAAATGAAATAAAATTGGTAGTGGGGTCGTGAGAAAAAGAAAGCCCTTCCAAATGTAGCACTTCTCTCTGTCTTAGATTGTACAGACAGTAAACCAAAAATCTGGGCAAAAAAGAAACACTATTCGTTTGACAAATTGAACTAATGATTTTATTAAGCTACATAGGTCATAAACCTAATGTCTCACTTTCGAACTCTGGTCTGTATCTCCTCATTAGGCACCTGCCACAGGAATTCAAACATACTTGAAGAGATACAGTGCTTACAGACAGCCCCATGGCATCTGAACTTTTCATTAAGAAAAAACTGTACTGAAAGCTGACCAGTAGTTCTACAGTGTGGTTCATCCACAGTAAAGAACAAGAGAGGGCATTTATGTTTTCTTTATACATCAAGTACTGCATAAAATTAACCAGTTTGAGGGTAATCACACTTTTTTTTTAATTAAAAAGCATGAAACCAGATGTTCATATGTATCAATTCATTAACTATTAATAAAACTACAGTAGTTTCCTGTAGTTAGAAAAGTTGGCATCAAAGTAGTTTGGGGACCTGGACAGATAGCATTATTAATAATAAAAACTTAACTGAAGAGACCTCAAGTCATCTTTTCAGTTTTCAAGCCCGAGAGAAGTTCTGATAACATTACCTATCTGCAATCTTAAAGGAACTCGTAATGTTATATCAAAACATAATGCTCTTTCAGCCTATTTTGACTGAGAAGAACTTGCACAAACTCATGTTCAGCAAAAATACCTTAAGAAGACTTAACTCAAGATCTAAGGATTAACTAGTTGACTGCAAACCACTAACATAGCAAAGCTTTCCATAAATGAGACTGGCCAAGAGAAAAACATGCATGCAGCAGCATGAAACCAGGAACTTCTTTAGTTCATGTGATAGTTATATATCCAACTATAACTTAATACCATGCATTTAATTGTACTTATTTTTCTCGTTAAATCTGGAAGAGAAATAGCAAACAGGAAAGAGTTTGAAGACAGAATATGTAAAGCTTGCTCCCTATCAGCTGATCCACAGAATAATTACAAACACACATGAACTATTTCTGAACTGATAAGAAGTAATTTTTTTGTAGAATGTTAAAATCAAACCATATGTTCATCTGAAAATCCTTTCTGTTGCAACTAAAGTAACTAAGAAAGTTATGTAAATTCAAGTAAGTTTAGTTTTTTGAAAAGTAGAAAAACTTTGTTTCCATAAAATTCCTCTTAAAAAAAAAGAACTTATGTATGCTTGAATTTAACACTTTGTATTTGAAGTAAAGTATCACATAATTAAGAAAATCAGGAGAAACATCTAGTATGTCACCAGAAAAATATCACAATTACCATAAAACATTGAGGGCGCAGTCTTGCTCTTAATTTGGCAATTTAACAGGAACAGAACACTCAATTTATTGACACAAACCCTGTTACAGTCAAACACACACAGACAGAATCCATTAAAATAAAACATGTATATCACATTTCTGTAAGGTTACAGCTGTTGGAAGAGAAAAACTACACGTACTAAGTCACTTATGAGTACTAAAATTCTCAAAAGAAGGTACATGAATACTTTAAAAAGCCATGGCATGGCCTGTTTTATTACAAAACATTTTGTTCAGTGTTCTTGCAATTTCTAACAAAAAAGTTGCAAAAGAAATTGGTATTAGACAAACTTCACCATTGGTACATTACAACCAGAATTACTCAAAACACACACAAGGAACTTACTTTTTTCCTCGGAATAATGTGGAGGCATCAGATGTACGTACTGGACTGCCATTTCCATAAGTCATTGGCTGCAGTGTAACAGCTGGAACAGTTGCAAGGTTCCCACTCAAAAGAGCCCTGGAAAGATTGCAGTTCATAACTGTTACTCATATGATAACTAAGATGCTTTTTATGGATTAGTAGTTTTTCTTAAGTGAATATGAAAACAGCCAAGTGCTGTCATTTTTTCTCAGGAGCAATTAATCTGTCCTTTCTATCCCAAATGAAGAGATATTTCAGCATATAACTTATTTTTCCTTAAAAAATAGATGGTGGTCATTCTTCACAGCACACAGGTAAGAAGACCTGTTGTGTTTTAACCCCAGCTGGCAAGTACAACCATGCAGCTGCTCGCTCAGCCCCCTCCCCTTCCGCTCCCCCCTCACCCCCAAGAAGGGTGGGGAGAAAGAGCCAAAAAAACCCAAAACTTGCAGATTACCAGGAGAAATGATACAGCTCTGCTTCACACAATATCTTCCTATTTTTTTTTTAAGTTTAATGGAGTTTAATGTTAACAACAGCAGAAAACATCTCCCATAAACAGAAATACTTCTTTCAAAAGACCGTTAATTCTCTTTTTCAAGCCAATCCCCACTATCAAAGCTTACTGTACTTACGCTGCATTCTGAAAATTAAACTGAGTATCAATACTTTGCTGGTGAGAAAGAAAAGCAGGTGGCATATTTAGAGGAAGCTTATTGAAGAAATTACTCTGTTGCTGATGTTTTGGAGGGAAGGGTGGACGACCCAAGTTGGAGGAATTTGGGAACATGCTCCTTCCTACTTGAGGTGAACATGTATCCTTTTACCTATATTAAAAAAAAAAACAAAAAACCCACCAACAAAAAACAAAATTAGGCAACAAGAAGTATTAGTTACCTTTTCACCTCTTGATTTAAAAATTCAAACAACCTAGAACATATTTCCAGAAATTGCTTTAAAGAATTATGATTGTGGGCTAGTTTTATCTCCTTTCAGGACAAGTCACTAAACAATAACACTATATGCTCTTAAGTTTCAGAACTATTATTTACTTTATGTTTAAAGATGAATTTTTATATGCTCCCCTCAAGTTTAACTTCAGAAAAATGACATGACACAAGACATAAGAGTTTTCATTGTTTCAAAACATAGGTTTGCTATCTCTTAAATTTTAAATTGATTCTGGCACAACTGACTGCTGTTTGATCTTGTATAATTATATGCTTTACACATTAGCAGAACTGTTGGATAAAAAAGCAGATCTTTACTTCTATGATACGTTAAACTGTGTATTGCATCCACTTTGCGAATCATCAGTATTTTACCTTAATCTCAATTTACATGTTGAAAACAATAGAAGTTCAGACTTTAAATTGGAAAAACTGTACCAGAAGATTTTTAAAACTAGCTATCAGTACTGTAGATATCTCTTAGCTGCAGTGAAAACCTGACACGTGGGGGAAATAATATGTATTAATGAAAGGTATTTTGGGGATGTTTACTTTCAATTCTACTGAAGAAACAAAACGGAATCATTTGACAAGAAAGTCACCTGACATTTACATTTAATCTGAACTGTATTCATGTGCAGTCTAAACTTTTCCATTTCTAGTGCGGGTAGGCAATGTAGCTGTTAACACAGCTCCACCACCTCAAGCAGCCCGGGCTCTTAGCATCACACACGGCACACGTAAGCGTTTTATGGATATAATTAACCAGTGACAGCACCCCGCGTCAGAAGCCCAGACCGGAGCGGCAGAAGCAACGCACTCGCTTTAGTCTCCGGAGTCACAAACACCAGAAAGCGAAGCTGTAAATACCGGGGAGCAATGAAGGAGGCACCTTCCCAGAACCAAAACCGAGGAGCGGGGTAACGCTTCCGAGCCACGGGAGCTGTACCGGCATTTACCGTGACTTTCAGCGGAGATTACCTCAGCGGAAACTGCCAGGATCCCCAAAAAGTTTCATAATCGTTACAATCCGGGCACGTTTGTCCCAATGGGCCTTTTTTTTTTTTTTTTTTTTTTTTCCAAACCAGCCTGTATTCTGGGGAGCAGCACACCGTAAATGCCGGTACACCTCCCGCGGAGGCAAACCCAAGCCACCGGAGCCCCGCCAGCCCCCCACCTCAGCGCCCGGCGGCCCAGCGGCAGGCGGCCGGGACCACCCTTCACCCCGATTTCCCCCCTTAATCCCCCCTCCCCCCCGGCGCCTCTCCCCACAGCAAGAGGGGCACCCCCTCACGCCGCCGGTGGACTCACGCCAGGCGGGGCGGAGGCGGGCGGGACAGGCCCCCCGCGGGCGGCGCCGAGCAGCCCCTCGGGCCGGAAGCGCAGAGCGGCTCTTCCAGCTGGGAGCTGCCCTCTCACCCGGATGCAGAGGCGCCGGCAGGAAGTGACGGCTGCTCCGCGCCCGCCCCCTCCCTCCGCCTCCCCGCAGCCTGGCTGAGGGCTCTCCCCGGCGGGCTGCCGGCGGGCCGGCCTGGGGCGGGGGAGGCTGCCCGCCGAGGTGAGACACGTAGGGTTCGCGCCCCGCTGCTGCGTAGCTCTGTCGGGCTGGGGAGGAACCGGCCCGGCCCTGGCCCTGGCCCTGGGGCTGCCGCAGCATCGCGGCTGTGTGAAGGCGGACACCGAAAGCCCGGCCCCGCGGCCTATTTTTTTTTTCTGCCCCCAGCTGCCTGAGGAAGGTCTGACGGGCCTTTCTGTGCTGACGGTGGAATAAAAGGCAGAGGTTACAGCTCACAGGGCTCCGCTGACAGGTGGTTCTGGCTGAGCCTAAACGATAGAAATAATATCGCAGGTATCTTTATCACTAAAGTTACCAGTTAGAGTTGAACTACTGTTTAGGGCAACAAAGATGATTGAGGGATTAGAGCACTTCCCTTACGAAGAAAGGTTGAGAGAGCTGGGGTTCTTTAGCCTGGAGAAGAGAAGGCTGAGGGGAGACCTTATTAGGCTTAGAAGTATCTAAAGGGTTGTTTGAAGGAGGATGGAGCCGGACTCTTCAGTGGTTCCCAGTGACAGGACGAGGGGCAACGGGCACAAGCTGGAACATAGGAAGTTCCATTCAAATATGAGGAAAAACTTCTTTATGGTGAAGGTGACAGAGCCCTAGAACAGGCTGCCCAGGGAGGGTGTGGAGTCCCATTCTCTGGAGATCTTCAAGACCCACCTGGATGCAGTCCTGAGTAATATGCTCTCCTCCTTTAGCAGGGGAGTTGGACTAGATGATCTGTAGAGGTCCCTTCCAACTCTGACAATTCCATGATACTGATGCCGTGAAAGACGAAATCAGGACTCAATAGCTGGGATGACTATTAAGCAGGTATTCTTTATTGCAGCGCTGGACGCACAGGCATTCAATACTATTCAGAAGTGTATCAAAAAGCTAATATTAAATAAGTTAGGATATGGCCATCAGAGATTGTTGGTGTGCTAGGATAAATCTGAAGTCAAGAACAGGCTAAAATGCTTGCACCCTGAAGGATCAAGAGTTCAGAAGATGTGAGCCAAGTCAAGATTTGATTACTTCCTCTGGAAAAGGACAATTACCATAAGTAAGCTCTTGGCATTGAGTAGGTACCAAAACAATGAGTTTGTGCACAAACAGAGATGCTGTTGAAGCTTCAGTCTTTGAGAGGGAAAGGGTAAGTTGAGGGCTTGCTCGAGGGAGAGCTTCTTGCTTTGTGGCTTTGTCAGGTGAGACCACGCAACCGCTGGAGTTGTCGTTGCTTGAGGCTCTGGCTACTCATGGAGAGACTTAATGGATAAGAAAGACAAAGTGCAGGGGGCCAGGTTAAGTGAGGCTGCAAGTGGACTGGCAAAGGAAAGTCTGGGCTGCAAAAAGAATCCTTCCCTCAGGACTTTGTCTTGGCCATGGCTTGGGAGCCTTGTAGAAGGGTCACCCCATGGCTGTGGTTAGCATTACATTTATGAGAGTCAAACTCTAGTGGCTTATATTGAGTGAAGCTACAAAGGTAGTGCCAAAGGAAAGTTTAGCCACAAATTTCTTGTAACGGTATTTTGGCTGGGTTTATTATTTTTTTAAAATATTATTATTTATTTTTATTTATTTGAAGGCTCAGCACGTGGTTAAGGCTAGGGTTTCAGTTGAGAGAGAGACAAAGCTGAGAAGTCTAGATTAAGTGGGACTGCAGAGAAGCTGCCAAGGGAATGTTTGGGATGCAGAAGGTGGGTTCTTTACAATTTTAGGTCTAGAAGAGAGGTGGTTCCTAGGGGTCTAGTTTTGGTGGGTTTGCAGAGGGGCTGCCCAGGGATGGTTTGGCCTGCAGAAGAATTACCTCAAAGAGTTCAATCAGGGCCATGTTTGGGTTCACCTGGGATTAAGGCCCTGGGCATATTTAGGGTTAGGTGAGGACAGTTCCTAGGGATCTAGCTGGAGTGTGGCTGCTGAGGGAAGGTCTGGGCTGCAGAAGGAATTATCTGTGGACTTTTTTATCTAGGCCCCATTTGGGGCTGTCTGGTGTTAAAGCTCCATGAACTTCTAGCATTAAGGTTCAAAGAGACACAAAGCATTGGGATCTAAATGAAGCGGGGCTGCAGACAGGCTGCCAAGGTAAGGTGTGGGCTGCCAAACCAATTCTCTCCTGAGAACTTCTTCATCTGTGCCATAGTTTGGGTTTTTTGGGCTTAAGGGCTACCTGGCCACTTCAAGGGTTAGGGTTAGGATTAGAAAAGAGACAAAGCTGAAGAGGTCTGTTGGTGGGGGGGAGAGCAAAAGGGCTACCAAGGGCAGGTTTGTGGATCACAAAGAATTACCTCCTGAGAGCTTTTCCATCTTAGCTGTGGTTTGGGGTCTTTGGCTAAGGTCAGCCCACAGTTAGGATTAGGGGTAGGGTAAAGGGTATGTTTTATAAATGTTCCGATTGCAGGTGTGAGTTGTTTGTGGAGGGGTGTTGATAAGGATTTGAAATGGGAAGTATTGGGATTAAGAGTTCTCCCCTGTGAAGGAATTCAGTCCCAAGAGAGCTTAAACAGGACAGGTAGAATAATACATTTTCAGTGTCATGAGAATCCTACCAGTGCCCAGTTATGCAGGACTTTGATTTTCAGCTGGAACCCAGCCTTCTTTGTATGCTGTTGGATTGGAATCAAAACGTCACAGTTTTTGCTCAAGGCAGAAACTTAATGTCTTAACTGTAAAAGTCAGTGATACAGCTCCAGATAGCTGGAGTTGCCTCCCCATTTGGCCTATTCAGTGGTGTTCTCCAGACCATTTGACCACTTTTCTTACCATAATCTATCCGTTCAGCAATAACATGTAATTCTTTGAGGTTTATCACATTAGCCATGAGGCCTACAATAGATACAACTTAATATAATCAATATACCTGGTAGCTGGCAGTGTTTATAGCAGTGTATTAAACATCAACATTTTTTTGCACAGTGAAAAAATAAACAAAAAATAATTTAGGAATGCATTTACCCAATTAAAGTAACTTATGTTGCTTTGTTTTCCCTTGTCTTCAAGTCACCTTGATGTTTTGTGTTTGCCTTAATCTAGATGCTAAATCTAACCATTTTTTTGGCACAGACTATTCACCCTTAAGGATTTTACCTGCATCCACTTGTCAAAATAGCTACACAAGTCGGTGAGGCACCTGAAATAACCTGATGTTTTACAAATACCCAACAGCCTTCTGAGACAAATCTGTGCTTTGACATGCTGAGAGCTGTTCCTTTTTTTTTTTCTTTCAACATGTTCCTTCTTACTTCCTGGGCCTGTCTGTGATCTCGGAAAATTAACCGGGTTAGATTATCTTCTCTCAGAAAAGCCCTACAAAGCCTTACTTCTGGTTTTAGTCATTCAAACAAAGAATCAGACCGCTGGTCAAGAGATACTCAGCAGAAAAACTGCAATGAGGAATTTGAGAACCGACACTACAGATTTCACCAGATCCCCCAAAATAGAATAGGATTAGGAACAGCCTTGTGTTACTGCCTGCAAAGAGAAATGCTGCTTTAGAATAAAAAATGGTATATTTATTGTAACAGAACAGTTTGTAAAACTAATTTATTGGAACAACATCAAAGAAATGGAATGACCAATGAAAGAAATTTATGTTTTATAATAGAAGCAGAGGCTGAATTCATCCTCTAAAAACTGTAAACAATATTTAGTTCTGATAGAAAAGAGAGTGGTTTCTGGAAGTCATTAGCAAAAAGGTCTCTGATAAACCAGCTGCAATCTCTCTCATAGAATGGAGATAATTTTGCAACATTGAAGTTTCTGTTTGGTGCTGTTTGCCATTTTCTGATACTTTTAGAGCTGAAGTGCTCCAGGTACGGTTGCTGTCTGAAGGTTAGTAGTGCTGGAAAGTTTGGTCAAAGCAGCTCAACAGTCAATAGTTCAAGGAGAAAAAATGAAGGAAAAAACCCTATCCCTCTATGGAAACCTTTTTCTAATTTTAAAAAGTCTCTTGGCTCCTCCCTCTATCTCTTGGCACCAGAGAAGGCAGATGGGAACTTAGGTGTGTGTTCAAAATGTGCTTTACCATAGTAAACATCCTTATGAAAGAGCATTTGGTACTACTGCTTTTTAAAATGTTACCTGATTAAGAGTGATTAAAAATGTGTGCTCATGTACTCATGCTTTTCCTACTGGGAAATTTCTTAACTTACTTGAAACATGTTTCAGCTTCAAAGCCAGCTGTAATATATCATCACTTATGATGTTATTAGTCTCCTGGACCACGTCTGAAATAATGAAACTTGTATCACTATAGTGCTTCATTTTAAGTATTTTGTATTGAGCCCAAACATGGCAAGTATATTAAACTAAGAAACATAACTCCAATGAAATAAATGGAGCTACAACAAGGATTAATGTGGTGCAGAATCCACAGGGAAGACTGCAGCTTTTTAATCATGATACCCATATGATATGCTTTGCAGTTTGTTTAGAAATCAGGATAATCTGGGACTGAAGCCAAACCAGAGACTTAGGTCTAAAATATATTTTATGTACCAGGCAAAAAGCATATTTCCTCAGGAAGACAATACAAGATGTTAATAATAATACAAAGAACTTGAATTACATTAAGAAACAATACTAAAAAGGCACAACTCGGTTTCATGAAGGCTGGCAGGTGTCTGTGTAAATATCCACCACGTTAAATGCAATATTCAAAAGTTTAGCATGTAGATACTGCAGGAAAAATTAATAACGTTCTTATTAAACAAATGCAGTATTTTTTTTCCACTTTAGCATTCTGGTTCTGATGTTCAGCATTCAACCAGGTTCAGTGATGTTCATGTATGCCTTTATATGTCTTCTTTAGTGCTTTTTCAGTGAGAGATCAGTTGATGCATTTGTTAAGTACAATATGCTAAATTTTATATATGTATATGCATATCACATA